CGAGTAGCTTCTGTTTTGTTTTAAAGTGAATAACCTGATTTAAATAACTATAAAAAATAATTCTCAATTGCGTCTATTTAAAATAATTTCGTTCTGTAAAATGTATGTACTTTTTTAATGATAAATAAGTTTAAAATATTCCGCGCTGAGTGTCAACGAATCTCATATTTTATTTGTTTTTCTATAGCTAAAAAATCTTGTGTAAATTTGATTTAAATTGATATGCAAGAGGCATTTTTTGATGTATTTGAATTTCTTGAACTATTGAATCTGCGAGAAATAAAATTAAATATTTTGTGAAAATAAAAGTCAATTTTTTTTATTCTTAAAATAAAAGTTATTTTTTTAAATATCTTCCATTTTGTTTCATGACATTTTGCACTATTTCTGGTAACTTTATGATCTAGATTTCATAGAACTTAAGATCCTTATCAGGGAAAAAAACCTATCGAGTGCAGTCACCATTTACACTTAAAAATTTTACCACTTATTTTTTTTAAAATTTTGATATAAATGAAAATCAGACGGTCCAAGGTAGGTAGTGTATTGGTGATGCGACGCCACTTTCCACCTCTGCTCCAATAATTTTGCAAATTGTGAGAGACCTCATTGTGTGAGACTACTTTGCATGAGACCTCGCATCGAGTGGCAAGGCACGACTCCTTTGCAATTTACAATCACCTATAAAGCCTTACCCTCACCCATTAAATTTATATTAGTTTCAAATTTTAAAAACTTCTTTCAATAGCGTAAAATTTCAACAAAAAAGGTACCTAAAATCATAATTTGGCGGAGTACTGTAGTGATAAGGACCTGAAGATACCAAAAACTCATCGAGAACATCGAGCCTATTTGACCAATGCCAATTAAAGTTCATTTTTCGAGTAGAAAAAAATTTCTTTTGCTCAAAAGGAAAAAAATATACTATTTGCCCAATGTTTTATTTTTTTCTCCATAAATGTATTCATTTAAAGCTTGAGTGAAATTTTAAGAAACTGAGAGAGTGCTTTTAGTTGCTAGTTAAAACTGAATTTTTTTTTTCTACATGGGTCAACTGTGATGACAGCATTTTTTCCATATGCTTATTTCAATGAAATATTTTGTTAATCAACATTTTTGGAATATTTTTTTACAAAAAAAAATGGCCTAAGATAATAGAAATTGAGCACTTTCCACTCTTGTGAAACGTGTGTCTATTATATGATTCACAATTTCTGGTAGTTCTCTTTTATCTCTGAAAGATTGTTTGGATGATATCCATCATCATAGCTTACTTTTGCTTACACTTGCAACTAGTTACTGGTATTTTACATAGCAAATGACAGTTTTATTGTAAAATAAAATTTATTTCCTTTTATTAACTTTTATACTTGGTGCTTGAATTTAAATTATTTCATGTGATAAATTAACTCTAAGAAAAGTATTAAAATGGTATTTAGCTTCTGATATGTATCGAATTTGGTTTGACGCATCCGGTCCTTTTGGTCATTTTCCATGCATTCAATTTGTTATATGGTAAAGAAAATGTAAACGTTGTTTGTTTCTAAATAATTGAAATTTTATAGTTCCACGTTTTGTATGTTGAACACCCAAGAAAATATAAAATATATTTCTACTATCACATTTCTTTGCGATTGAGAATGATACAAAATAATTTTCGTTGTGAAGAAATTCATATTATTACAGTAGATATTTTAAAATATGTTGCCAAGTTATCTTCCTCAGCCAGTAACAGCTTATGCAATATTCGCACGACAAACATAACAAATTCTAAAGGCTTTAAATAGTGTGTAGAGCCACCGGTGACCCTTTGGTTTGGTGAAAAGTCTCGTTCAGTTTCGCTTAAATTCCGTATATGATTATTATGATATTCATGACTGTCTTTGCTCTTCTCTGACTGTTATTCTTAATTTTCGCCACAAAATTTGGGTTTTGACAAGTCCATGAAGTAATAGGATATGCTGAACTTATTGCTTGTTAGAGATACAAAATCAATAAACTTTATATGTCAATAAAGTCATGCTGTTAACGAATTTAAGTTTTGTCAAATTTTTAATTTTCCCTAGAGCTCTTCCGAAAGTAAATATTTTCAAAACTTTTCTAAACAAATTTTGAGAAACCTAGGAGTATATGTTGGGTTATATTAAAATCGATTCCCAGAATTTTGACCTCCTTGCTTACGTTTGTGATTTTAAGCGTTTTGCAGAAGCGGAAATTTCAGAACTGTCTCGACCTCACATAAACACTTATCCCAGATATGATTTATACCTCGCGGATAAGAAGCGGCATAAAACTGAGACAACGCGAAATAGTTGAATGGCTCCATATTGCTTAAGGCAAAACTGAAATGCTTCGCTCAGGCTGTTTGAAACTTGTGATATTTAACAAGTTGCGTTCGAAAATGTTTATATTTAGAAATAAATTTAAATGGAAGATGGGTAGGTAGCCATACTGTTTATTTAGGAGTTTTGAAAAAGAAATGCAAAACGAATTGCATTTAAGAGAATAACCATTTTATGAATTTGTGAGATTAAGAAAATACTTTAGATTTCAGTGTGTCAATATGTTTAGTTTTCCAAAAAGAAATAATTGTTTTGTATGATGTAGAAATTTTATTAGTACTTCTTTGTCTTGGGGACCGTAAAAATACTATAGAAGTATTATAGCCGCCACTGATGAGAGTTGATTGCTGTAATAAGTACTACTGGTATTCTGAGAATAAATACTGAGTAAACTAATTTTTTTCTGTGGTACTCAAAATGGTTCTTTTTGGGATCCATAGTGAGTAGTGCTTAAACATTCACATGCAGTACACACGCATGATAGTATTGCTTTGCTTAATGTATTTATTAAATTTATACCTTTCAAATTCTTTTATTTGTTTTCTTTGTGCGGTCCGCAAATAAAAGTTTTGCTACTTATTTGTTTCGTTTAGGACAGGAGGGGGGGGGGGCTGTACGAAAATCTCTAAACTCTTATTGAAGACACTGATGTTCAATTAACTTTGATAATAGTTACTCTTGGTATTGAAGTCATAGGAGCTTTTGTAAAGGGTATCTAATATATCAATAAAGGTACACTACACTGGTGTTCAAAATTAAGAAAAAAATATGTTTTGTTGAGTATCTCTTGAACTACTTGACTGATTTTAATAAAATTTGGTTTGAATATTGGTCAATATAATACAAAATAATTACTATTCAAAAGTTATACCATACCCTCGTGATCGTTCGCAACTTCCATTAGAGTCGGATAAGGTCAAAGAGTGGTTAGAGATTTGAACAAAAAGAGTTTTAATAGGGAGTATAGTCCTCCGTACGTATTACACAGTGATTTCATACTAGAAATGAGGCAGTTGATGCAGATTTTTCCACTCGTTCAGTATCGCTGCTTTCAGAAAATGGATGGTTGTCGGTGGTTACATGTTACAATTGCTCTCCCCAAAGGATCCCAGACATACTATGGAGTTGAAGTCTGGAGATCTCGCTGTCTAATCCTTCCAGAGAATGTATTCATTTTTCAGAAAATGGTGGACCAGAAGTGTTCTCTGTTGTGTCACTTTGTTATTCAGTAAAATGAAATCAAGACCCACTTTAAGCCTGGAAGGGCAAACACAGAGCTCTGAAACCTTATTCCTATGCCCAACACCAATCACAGTACCTTTTTCAATTACATCGAGTGGTGCACCGGAATCCAGCAATATATGCCTGCCAGACTAGTAAACCTCGGCAGCCATAATAGAGGACTTCTTGGACATTAGGGGAAATGTAGCGGTTCCCTGGTTCGTTCTTTAAGAAAGTACACAGGGGTTCAGTGGTCAGGCTAAAGCAAGACTCAACAGTGAAGAGAATATTCTATCCCTTCAGTAAGCAAAATTCTGCTACTACTTTAATTGTTATTTTGTTATTTTGTTCATTTATCTACTGAACTTAGTAACCATGGAGAAAGAGGATTCTAGGTATCAGGTGAGGTTGGAGTTTGTATTTGGTATAGTGGGCCAGTTGAAGATAGTAATGAAAACAGAAGATGGTGAACATAATACAGTTGAACCGGATCAGAATTAATAAAAAGCTTTTATTTTATATATTTGCAGAGCTCGAGGTACCAAATATAAATATAATCCATAAGAACTTCAGTTGAATCAATTTTGCATAATAATATTTTTAAGGACAGGCCATGGGAGACAAATCCCCCACAACCTGCCTAATCAAAAGACAAATTAAAAAGTACGTGTAATTTGTTCCCAACGGACACAGAAGCATGGGTAGGAGATCCAAAATTGGCCATTTATTAAAATATAGCATAGCCAAAACAAAGCCAATCAGCATATCAATATTGGGTTTAAAATAATACCTTGGCGATCACGAGTCGCCATCAAATTTATGAGAATTATTACAACCATGCAACTGAAACATTTTTGCGGTTAGAGATTAGAATAAAAAGTTATAAATAGATTTTTGTTTTCGTTTAGAGGCGACAGTGAATTAATATGTCTGCATTAGTAATGAAATAAAAAAAAGTATCCGTTACATTGATCTAGCAGAGAAGAAATAAATATTTTATGTTCGTTTTTAAAACATTAAGTCTTTGATTTATTTTAAATGTAATTCTATTAATAAAAAAAAGCTTAAGTAATGAAAGATATTTTAAAAGATAGAAAATAAATATGTAATGCCGATTGTGGCATCACAGTAACACTCCGCTTCAAAATCTTTTCGACTATCTTAAGGAAACACCAGATATTTTTCAATGTTAACCATAATTTCACGTTATCCAAGTACTATGCGTGGTATGACCTTTCTAGAATTTTGTGCCAGATATCAAAATAACTTTTTCTACTTCTGATTATTCCTTACGTCACCAAAGTTAACACTATAGTTAATGCCTTTTTTATGACCAAATAGCAATTGGTGAGTTGTCATTTTATATTAAAATAAACAATGCTACTAATAACTTACGGCTGTTTATTTTTTGTACATATTAATACAAAGTGAACTTACCAACAACATTGAGTCGTATACTGAGACTCATTTTGGGCTCTGTGCTCACTTGGCACTCATAAACACCCGCGTCTCTTTTTTGGGTGTATTTAATTTCCAACGTCCAAATTTCTGAGTTATCCAAATGGATTGAAGTAAATCTTTGGTCGCTTGTGTATGTATATTTCCCAACAGTGAGAATGTGGAGGTCTCGCTGCCGTACCCATGATACCTGAAAGAAAAAAAATTACACTTTAGTTTTCTTTTTCATTTTTTTCTTAATTAGTTCATTTAAATACAGTTGAGCTTTCATTCGGTTAGTTAAAGTTTCATTACATGCAATGTTAGAATCAAGAAAGTTCTCTAGTGTATATTGATGTAAAATGTATTTTCTAAAAGTAGAAAATACAAGCACAATATAGAAGGAGAAGTAGAAAATGCATGTTTTTTTTCATTTAAAAAAACTTTCATCGATTTTCTACGATTATTCATCTGTTTTTAAAACTGTTCCACCGGCGTGATGTGGTGGTCTTTCTGCGTCAATTCTGAAACAAGCTTTCTGGTTTTAAACCACGCATTGTTCAAAGCCAGTCATTTATTTTTACTGTATTTTCTACCATAACTTAATATCATACCATACCATAACTATACCATAACATATAACTACCAAAAACTTAATCGCATCATACGTTGTTGAAATAAATTAAATGTATTTTCATTTTAAAATAATGTAATTTTTTTAAATACACTCTTTTTTCTTTCTCCCACTTTCTCGATTAAAAAATTATTTATTAAGAAGTTATCCATTACTTATCCATTAAATTATCCAAACTGTTTTCTCTCTAGATGAGAGGTAATTGACTTGAACTAAATGAATGTGTCTTTCTGACATTACTATTGTTATTTTTATTTCAATTTTCATTTTTATTTCTAGCTGGATTTTGCTTAAAAAGGCTAATTATATACAACTGAGCTCCAAATTTAGTTTTATACGTATCTGGTAAATTGGTTAAATAACTATTTTATCAAAAACCAACTTTTTTCATATGCTAGAATTAAACAATAATCAACATTCATTCTTAATTAAACGGTATGTAAATTTTTTGGAAGTGTCCTTCAATAGTTGAGAGTTCCTTAATTTTTTTTTCGAAATTGTCAATTTTACATTGGATTTCTCTTTAGTATTGTCTCCAGGTGGATACTTTTGTAATTTTTGGAAGAAAACTAGACGAAAGCACAATACAGCTATATACTTTTTTTTGCTGAAAGGAAAATATGCATGTTTCCTTCCAGTGCTTTGAATATTTTGCTTATTGCATTGCCAAAATCATTTCGATTTTACTAAGCATTATTTAGATATGAAACTCCATACAAACATCATACTATGCTACCTCACTGTAAGTTGTATAACCACAAGAAAGTAAAAATGATCTTTGAAATATTTATTTAGGTTTCCTTTGGTATTCCAAGACCCTACTTGAAATTTAGAGCTGTAAAATAATATCCCCCCCGAAAGAAAAGAAAGAATTTTCCCTTTTTGTCGCATTAGTCACACTGGAGGTAAAGTTTACGACAATGGGATCATTTGTTTTAATTGATAATAAAATAGTATTCATATTATTTAATCTTTTATAACTTAATGTTTCCATTTTAACGCAGCAAACACTAGAAGTTTTGCATAAAATTTGCATTGACGGATCAATCACCCATAATTTTTATTCATATTCTCAATGATAAGCATTGGTCAATGAACCGATGATACGAAACTGCAACGCTAGCTCGAAGACAAAGCTACATCCACAAATGATTCTCAATCCGTACCCTATGCGATCCCATTATGTCCAAACAAAGACCAGGATTGTAGAAACCTAACGAACCTTTACTTCAGGGTAGAAGGGACAACTACCGTTTAGGCTTAAGTTCTCATGACCCATTAATTCTAAGAAACGGAAAGAAAGAAATGGATGAAAAAAAAGGAGATAGAAAGGCAACGGAGATTTTACGCCAAACCTCGTTCTTTTTTGAATCCTTGCGGAGACCCCTTTTATCCATCATGCTCAGTTTGGCACATTTTGGAACACAAAAGAGTGCCCTATAGTTCGGATACAATAGGATCAGCGTTGAAAGAAACAAAGAGCGGTGAGGAGTCATAATCATGCGAAGTCGGAGTACCAAAAAATGGTTCAACTTGGGATGTAAGGATCTTCTCCCTAGAGTAAGGGCTTCGTGATGCATAAGAAGATGCCAAATGGAGCGAAGTAGTTTTGTTTTTTGATCTCCCTTTGCTTTTGTGAGTTTTTCTTCAGCAGATGGTAAAATCTCTTGGCTAAGAGTGCTCTCTAAAAGGAATTTAGAAGAATTATGAGCTCAGAAGGTACAGAAAAAAAAGTTTTAATTTCCCGAGAAATAAATGCAGAAGGCTTTTATAAATAGTTTACTTTTCTATTTCAAGTAAGCGACTTTTTCTCGATGTTATGTTTTATTCATCTAGGAATACATTTGTGATGTTTAAAATAAGTCATTTCTAATGACATAAGTATTGTTGAATTTATAAAATGTAAAATAAATAATGCGGATTACATTTTCAAAAGTGCATTTTAATGCAAATTTATTTTTATTTATCGATACAATGTCACAAGGGTAAGACGATTAGATTTTTCTAATACGCAAATCTGCTTTGAAAAACTACAAACATACAACGCAGCGATTTTGTTAAAACCTGACGTCAAAAAAAATTCTAAAAAATTTAATAAATACAGGACTTATAATGTCTTTTTTAAGAGCTTATGTTTTACAGATTTTTAAGAATTTTCAGATTATTACTCACTATATTGCAGACTTCTATCTATATAAATATAAGACTTAAGAGCATTTATACTATTACTGTATGAAAAAATCAAAATCATACTGAACAAAAATCAAAATTATACATCATGAAAAAAAATCGAGTATATTGTTGAATCAGCGATTAAGTACCTTGTCTGGATCATTGATGGTAACTAAGAAAGGATAGGGTATAATCGAGTCACTTATAATAAATTTTTATTGATCAATTTATGCTTCAAGCTCTAATCAACAATTTAAAAAATCAGAGATTGCAACTTTGAAAATAGAAAACTTGAACGAGTCATTTATATTAATTTCGTAAAAATTAATATTTCAAGTTTGAAGTATTGAATTTGCAATTAAGATACATATTAGAGATCAGTGAAACTGTGAATATGAAGTAAGGATATTGAATGAGTCACTGAGAATAAAGTTGAAACGTTTAGTTAAGAGTAAAGTTGCATTGAAACGACACAACCTTTGTTTAAAAAGAAATGTGCTTTGTATTTTAATTCTAAGAAAACAAAAACAAATTTAAGCAAACATTACGTTATTTGTTAAGGAACTGCATTGCTTGATAATGTACTTCAATAATTTATTTTTCTTAAACTATTAAGTCATGTTTCCTTATGTAAAATCAATTAGTTGCATAAGTGCATAAATTGTTTTTAATAAAATATCAATAATTTTGTGATAAAAGAATGATTATTATTATTTTTTTTATACAATAAAACCATTATTTCACCGTATTGTAGTTCGATGAGCCACTATTATGGCTCTAAGCTTCATAGAGTTTTCTGAGAGTGTGTAATTCATAAAAACTACGTAAAGTTACGTTCTGAAAAGTTAGAAAAAAAAGTTCTAATAGTGTTTGTAGAAAAGCAAACATTTTAACTCTTTTACTAAGTATTTGTAAACATTTTCTAATACTTCTGGGACACATTTTAGATAAGTAAATGGAAACTTTATGCTTTGAACTGTAATAAATTATTTCATTAAGATAATGAGTGAAATTCTATTTATCATGTAATATTTATTGAAAAATTTCTTACCTGCTTTTATGCAAATTCTCTAAGAGGAAACGTAATGATCTAATTAGATAAAATATACGACAATTATTTAAGAAGGAGTTTGATTTATTAATGATTTAAGCTTTTTACTAAGATTAGTAAATTTATCATTCAAAATAATAGTTTAATAAAAAATCAACGTGTTTAAAAAAGTGATTACCTATTTAATTAAGCTTCAATTAAAGGAAAAACATTTTGTTTTAAAATACTTCCCTAAATTTACTAAGTTCTAAACTCATTTTCTGAATAAGTAAATATTTAACGCAAGTTCGTAATTTATCAAATAATTCCAACAAAATTAGTTTCATTATATTCATCATTAAAATGAGAGTAAACAATAATAGATGGCAGGTTAATATGATGGTTTTCCCGCCTGAAAATGAATAATTACTACACATCTTACAAACGTTAAAGTGAATTGAAATGCAAGTGTCAACACTAAGAATTCAAAAAAGAAAATTGCTAAACATGATCTAATTATTCCACATGTTCTAAATTATTAAAAACATCGTTTGGGTAGCTGAAATTATCTTCTGATAGTTTGCCAAATAGCAGATGTCAGGGGATAGAATTTCAAAGGAATAAGATATACCAAAATTGAAAGTGGTAACGCCAAGGTCTCGAATTTTTTGGCTCGACTCCAAGATCCTGGCTGAACAAGTTTAATCAAAGTTAATAATTAATCGCCAAATGTATAATTCAAGAGACTTAAAAAGACGGATGAAGTGAAACAAACCATGACTTGGACGGAATTACAGCTTTGCTTAATGTCTATGCGGAAACGAATAAATGAAAGAATTGATAGAGGCATCGGGGAATTTGCAATCATGAATAACTTGAGTGGAATGCGATCCGGAAAGACCGAACTATAATTCTCTTTTCTTGTCAGCAAATGAAATCCGCACCGAGTAGATGCGCTTCAAAAACAAATGATTCTGTCTTGAAATGAGTTGATGAAATCGATGACTGAAATTTTAGCAAAGTAACCTGGTCATTAAGTACGGAAAACAGAAAGAGAAAGGATTATTGCTTCCGGTGAAATTGATTGTTTCTTTAGTCTATATGGACAACTGTCCTATTAGTTAGTCATTAGTTACAAAATTGAAATAGTAATCTTGTAAAAAAATGTAAGGATTTTAAATTCAGTCATTGAATTAAAACATTTTGATGAATTGATTCAAATACCTACAAAAATACTGTTTAAGTTCAGTTACAGGAAAACATAATAAAGTCGAATTTATTTAAAAATAACTATTTCTTTTACAATAAAAGCAAGTTACTTTTTTGCAGTCTTTAATTAAAAAAAAATGTTCAACATATAAAGTCATTAAGACTC